CTCCGGTTTGATTTCCGGCCGAAGCTGAGTTGCTGCTGAGCTGCCAACAGGTGGCAGGATGGCTCAGCTAAAAACAAACAAACAAACAAAACAAAACGAAAAAAATGTCAGTGATGTAGGGAGTTAGATGTCTCTTAAGTCTCAAAAGGTCCCATTTTAAAGTGCTGTCATAGCCTAGACCCATAGGACATTGTTATGATGAGGACTGAGGGTTTTACGTGTTAGAATATAGCCCCTCAGATTTAGTGTTCAATTCATTATTTATTGAATTATCACATCAATACAATGTGCCATGACATCCCTAAAATTGCATTTTAAAATAACTTTTTTGCTTCTTTCTGTTTTCCTATCACTGTCTCCTCCTTCCTTTGTCTTTCCTTCTCCCTCTTTGCTACTAGGATCAAACAGCCTAAATCGGGTAACTGCAAACATGGAAAACGGAGAAAACGAAGGAACCACTAAAATTATGGCACCTTCACCAGTAAAAAGGTCAGTCAGTAAACTGGAGGCACATCACACTACATGCTGTCACCAAGACGGTTGCTCCTGTGGGCAAGGTTAAGAATCTTTTCCCTTTGATAATTAATTGATACTTTCGATCAAAATAGTCTGCGAGCCACAGAATCCTATAAAATGCCCGTGAATTATAAAACATCAGGACCTGCATCTCTGGTTTGAAGGAAATGATCCTGTTGTCCCAACATAGTGAACTCAAAGGTAGTCTGTGCCTTGCGTTCTCAGCAGTCAAGCGAAAATTCCGTGTGATTTTTTTTTTAAATGGCGTGACATAATGGACTAACTCAGAGGGATCTGTGAAATAAAGTAGATGGTCCTCATATTTAATGTACTGTGTTCATTACAGCGGCGCACTGAACTGTGGCCCTGGAAGGCGCGTTTATAGTATTGAGAGGTGCAGGGCTTCAGAAGTCAGTGATTGCATATGTATGAAGAGTTGTCATGGTCCTTTGCATCAATTTTCCCAGCCCCCTTCCCCAGCAGCAGGACCTTCTCTTAATATATTACATGGATTGTTTCCCTGAAAGATCAGCCTTGTTCTCTAAGACACTTATTTCTGTGTCATTTTTTCCTATCTCCACTTATGTTCGTGGAACAGCATTTCAGATGTACAATGAGCAGCTTTCATCGGCTCACTTGCTCTCTAGAGATTGCTCCCCACCCAGCATGGAGAAGTTCAAGCAGTCAGAAAGAAATACGTGACCTTGAAAGATTCCTTAGATCATCTACTCCATCTTTTGTTAGTAAATGACAGTGCCTTCATTCGGCCCCTGGACTGTGATTGCTTGGAGAAATAAGAGTTTATAATTTCTCAGCAAAATTAAGACGTGAGGATTCCCAGAGGTGCAGTGTTTTCCCCCAGGGTTTTTTGTTTTTTTAAAGATTTTTTTATTGGGGAATTGGGGGGATGGGAACAGCGCTGGGGAATTAGGGGAAGGGGAACAGACAAGTTGCTGTTGTTTTTGTTCTTCAGTCTAGTTGTGGAGGACGTTGCTTCACTGGCCCAAGTTGGCACCATCATTGNTTAATTTGCTAATTGCTGTACTATCTGCCATTTTTTGCCATAGTACTCAGTCTAAAGGCAAGGCAGTCTGATACCAAAGCAAAGTGACTTTGTACTGTCAGTGTGAGAAATAGAACTAAAATATATTTGCATTTATTAGCTCATTCTTAATTCATGAATATCACGTTTCTTCTGAGAAGTCGTACTGGGTTTGATCATATAAAATTAGATTGGCTTTACTAAAACCTAATAATATGTTGTATTGAGAATTGTTATAATCTGTCCTGGTTATTTATTTTAAGCATTAGATAGAATTATTTATTTATTTAATTTAAGTTTAGAGAAGATATGTGATTAAGTGGGGCAAAATTTAGCCTAATATAGAGAAAGACAAATACCATATGATTTCACTTACACGTGGAATCTAAAGATCTGAATAAATGAGCAAACCAAATAAAAATAGTCTCAGAGATATAGAGGAAAAACAGATGGTTGCTAGTTGGGAGGCACGTGGGAATGAGGGAGAAGGTGAGGGGATTAGAAAGCACAATCAGTAACCACAAGATTGCCAAGGGGATGTGAAAGACAGTTTGGGGAATATAATTAATAATGCTGTAAAGATTTTGTAGGTTGTCTGATGGACACTTGTCTTATTAGGGAGCCCACTTCATGGATGGTGTAGATGACTGACCACTGCACTGTACACCTGAAGCTGAAGCTGAATAATAACGTCAACTATAATTTCATGTATATGGTCACGGGATGTGGAGTACAGCGTAGGAAATAGAGTCAGTGGAATTGTAACAGCTATGTGTGATGTCAGAGGGGTAGTAGATGGGGGAGGGGGTTATCACTTTGTGAGGGGTGTAAATGTCTAATTATTACATTGTTTTGTACACTTGAAACTAATAAAAAAAGATTAAAAAATAAAATAAATTAAAAACACACATACACACAAATTTAGCCTAAAAGTTTATAAATTTATCATATTTGAGAGTTCTTAAAATGAAATTATGTATTACAATACTGCTTTCCTTATTGGCTATTTGTCCTTTATCCCATATAACAAAATAAGGCATTCTTTTTTGCAGATATACATGCTTTTTCATTTAAACATCACATAGTTACTCTCCATGTCCACTCTGTAAATTAAAAATCAGTGGCAACATATAAGTAACATCAGGATTTAATTTAGGTTGACAGATAGCACATTGAGCTACAAATTTTGTGACACTCATAATACAGTTTAAATGCAAAGTTTTTATAGTTGAAAATCCATGTATATTCGTCACCAAATCTTGACATCACAGAGATGACTTTTAAGAATTTCCCACAGATCAGGTAGCTAAATAGATCCTGAGAGAGTTGATTCTGTTTCTGATAGCCACTCTTCCTGCTGAAGGTGAGGGTCACTTAAGATGAGGGCACTCAAACATGAACAGAGCCGAGCCACACAAAAGCCTGGCAGTGGTCTGAGGCACACAGGCTGGAAGCATTTGCATTGACAGTGACATTGCAGTATTGTTTCAGCCATAGGGAATTGTGTGGGCCCATATTAAGCTGTAGTGTAGTCCAGAAAACAACAAAAAAAATATCACAGGTCATGAGCTAGATGTGGTTCCTTAATAAACTATAGCAGTTTCCAAATAAACNTAGAGAGGTTTAATAACTTATCCAAGAATTGGCAGACCTGAGAAACAAATTTAGGTTTGTATGATTTTCAACCTTGTATGTTGTTAAGATGCTTTGTCAGATTGGAGAAGTAAAAGACATACTCAAATGTGGGCAGGACGTGACAAGTGTCGTAGAGGAACCCTGAAAGAGTTTTAAGTGTCCAGAAGGGTAATTGGCTTATGGCTAAAGATAATCCGTGAAACGATTGTGAAGGGAGTAGTTTTTGAAGGACAGATGGATTAAGGCAGAAGATGTCAAGCTGGGGTATGCAACACCTGGTGGGGAAGGGGTGCGAGAGGGCTTTCTCAGGATTATGTGGGCACAGCCAGCTTTGATTGAATCAATTTCCAGATTCTCTTTCCTGGAAGGAACCTGCCACTGGTACTAGACTTGCTGGTTCTTGTCTCCAGCTTGCCCTTCCCCAGTGGACCTTTCCCCATTTTCTAAAAGAAAGGCAGACCTTTTCCCCATCCGGAACCTGTTATACTACTTTGTTCTTAAATGTTAAACCTCCTGGGTTGACATTGGCCAAGTAAATGACCTTAATTATCAAGTGGCACATCCTTTTCAAAGTCATTTCTCATTTTGGCTTTCAACAAAATTGGAGGAGGACCCAACTGATTTGTCATTTGATAGAACTTTGAAAATCATTTTAGGTAATATATCACTACTTGTAGAGTTATATACATGTATACATAACCCTTAGAAGTTCTTTAGGACATTGGTGATATTTTCATAACAGAATACTTTACATAAACCTCTTTGCAAGTGAACAGGTTTCTCAGCATTGAGAATCTATGAAAATAAAAAATAGGAATAGAATTGCTGTTAAACTATTTCTTGTAGCAAAAAGTCATATTCTTGAATGTATATGATCCATTTAATCAGCGGGAAAACAAAACTACCTTGTTTAACTCATTAAGGGTTATTTTTCAGTAAAATTTTTATGTTTAATAATTATTTATCAACATTAGTACCATATACTAATATAATATTAATAATTGTAATGATAATTTAGTTCAGAAGAAATTTTAATACCTATAGCTTTATGATCATGGGAAATAAAGCTTAATTTATTTCTATTTTTTTTGTCACAGAGAAATAAAATAGGGTAACAAATAAGAACTTTCAAGCATAAAACATATTACTTTGGAATAAATTTTTGCAGAGGAGGTGAAATTGAAATGCAAATACAAGGAGAAAAAATAGTGCTATGAAATCTCCAACTGCTAAACTCATTTCATGTACTTTTAAAATGGATGACTATGGGTATCAAATTTCTATGGTATTTTATTACATTGGATACATTTAAGAGAGTCATGAAACAGTTCCATTTCAAAATGTCAATATTTACTATATACTGCAAATGACATCATTTGGTGCTGTTTAAACTTTTGATGAAAAATGTTAGATATTATCTTAAAAACATGCACTGAGGTGTATAGTTTTCATTTCTTTTAGTGAGTGAGTAGTTGGGTAAAATAGCTTGAAGAACACTGAGTTAAGGCCTCCTAGATAGGAGTTCAACTATGGAAGGAAAAAAAAACAAAAACGCAGTTTTACCAAATTTGTCTTAGTTAAATAAACCTTTGAAAAGCAGTTGCATATACAGTTATATGTACTTTGTATTTATATACTTCATATACTATTACAATTGCATAAAAAAAAAACCCTAAAGCAGTGGTCTAGCACACTCCTGTGAAATAGAACCAACTTTAGGTCAGGTATGACACTGTCCACCTGCCCTAGACCAAGTGAGCATAAATTGCTTGAGAGAAGATGGCTGGAGGTTTGCTATAAGGCTGCTCTGAATTGTGTGGTCCTGTTGGAGTGGTCGGGGGGAGTGCAAGACTACTACCAGGATAGGATGTGAGTGTTTACTCCACTTTCTTCCCTCACACTGTGTCCCCATATCACAGGAGAAGAAACTTGGTATCTAAGTGATTTGCCACACGTCCTGCTTCCAGCCAACCATTCACAGATGGGTGGTGGTGTCACTGGGTCTAAGAGGGCTGGAAGGAAAGATGGGCGTCCCTCTGCTGTTTCCACACCTGGCAGCCCCTCCGGCATACACAGGTGTGGACTACAAGTTGTTCCGATAGTAGAACCCTTTCATTCTACTCTGAGGGTCTTCAGGGGGTGAGGCAATGCCTTCCCAAGCTCAGATGTGTCTTTCTTGGTTTTGAACCTCGCATTCTGACCCACAGAGAAGGACATCTGTGACTACTCCTAACCCAGTGGGCATGCCTCTGTAGCTCTGGTGGAGGGGCAGAGGATGAAGAGCCTTCATTTCCAC